TGTGTGTGTGTGTGTGTGTGTGTGTGTGTGTGTGCGTGTGTGTGTGTGTGTGTGTGTGTGTGTGTCGCTTTGCAGTGTGATAAGATCAAGAGCGTATTATGAAGGCTTTCTTTATACGCTCTTGATATGATGTCCATTTTCGTTTTTTGATATAGTTTATAAATATACGGCTTTGATTTCGCTGAAGCAATTACAAAATAAAAAAATTGCGTCTTCCATGGCAATTCTATACGTGAATATGCCTCAGTATCGCAATCTCTCACTTGAAACGATGAGGAACGTAGATCAATTTAACACGCTCGCGCTTGAAGCATGTAAAGATCCATAGAAAGTTTTCCCGTTTGAAACAATGGCGTTCGAAAACAAAGCTACTAGCTTTTCCACGGGAAACCCCGTGAAACCGAGTTTATTTCAGCGCGCATCGAACATGTGGGGAAAACGCGTGAATAGTACACGCTTAGGAGTCTCTCTCATACACGCGTTTATTTGCATAGCAATTCCGTCAGCAATCACTAGACTGGCTCCGTAATTCGCTGAGAATCAATGACCACATAATTACTCCTTCATGAAATACCACACAGTCCTTAAGTGTCAGTCTACGCCATCATTCTAGCAACGAATCTATATACAACGTTTCCCAATTACTGTTGCAGCCAGTAGAAGACAGCCAATCTACATACAAGACACGCCGACACACACCGGAGGTATGCTTCCATAATTATACCAACAGCCTATCTATCTATCCATAATTATACCAACAGCCTTCCATCTATACGCGAACCACACACGCGTTTCGTCCTCGCTAACCCCGTGATTACGGCTGCTATAGCGACGCCATGCACTACAAGTGCTGGTAACGAGCGACACACCGACCTGTGATGCCACGTCACATTGCCCCGCGGATCCTATTCATTCAGGGACGGATGTCTGTATATATATATATATATCTGTAAGTTGTAGATGGAACACGGGCCCACGCATGCACACAGCACTACAACCCCGACAACCCCACAACCAATGCACGCACACACGCACGCACGCACGAATACACACGCACGCACATACACACAAACACGCACGCACGCACACGCACATACACAAACACTAAACTCCCACACCCAACACAAACGCACGCACGCACACGCACATACACAAACACTAAACTCCCACACCCAACACAAACGCACGCACGCACACGCACGTGGCGCGCGTGTGCTATATAGGTAGAAGAGAGGGGGCAGTTGTTCTCCTTGACATAACTAGTTATTCTGACACTGTATTTCATCGGAATAATCGCGAGGCTTTCGCTTACCGCTGCATCTATTCTTCCTAAAGCTTTCGCCTCTTACATCGACACGAGCGGGTAACGGCAAATTACCCGTCCGTCCGATACGCCGCCTACCACTTATTACTAGGTGCGACCTGTGATCAGGCCAGCAGCATGTAGGTGCAGTCAGGCGCCGTGCTAATTCAGCTGGTGTTATTGCCGGTGCGGTGCACCGCGTAACGACCCTGTCAATACGCGCGGGGGAAGGGGCTGAGCGAGACAGACGCCGGCACATCACACGTTCACGCGTGGATAACAACCTTAAAACTAGAACTGGCCGCAATCCGTGGTATATATTATATATATATTTATATATACTATATATATATATATATATATATATAATACATAAGTACATATATATACATACATACATTACAGTAGTGGTCGGCGATAATATGACTGTAATAATATAAATATATACCAGCGCTAATAATTGACCAAATTATCATTTTTTGTTTTTATCTGTTATTATAGTTATGTTTGTCATTATTTAACTCCCTGATAATATACGTATATATATAATATATATATTATATATTATATATATATATACATATATAATTTATATATATTATAGTATATATATATATATATAATAATATATATATATATATAGTATATATACAGCAATTACCGTCGCTGAATTGGAATTAGGATCCGCGGGGCAGACGGTGGTGACGTTGGACATCACAGGTCGGCTGTGTCCGCTCGTTACCAGCAGCTGTAGTGGCATGGCGCGCTATAGCAGGCCGCTTAATCAACGGGGGCTGTAGCGCAGGACGAAACGCCGGCTGTGTGCTTTGTTTCGCGAATAGAGATGGTAGGCTGTTGGTTTATAATTATGCGGGATAGATCAGATCAGGCTGTTGGATATAATTAATGGAAGATACCTCCGGTGTGCTGTCGGCGTGTCTCTGTATGTAGCGATTGGGCTGTCTTCTACTGGCCTGCCAACAGGTAATTGGGGAAACGGTCTGTATTATAGCATTCGTTGGCATAGGAATGATGGCGTAGACTGACACTTAGGACCTTGTGTGGTATTTCTATGAAGCGGTAATTATGTCGGTCCGGATTGCATTCTCAGCGAATTACGGAGCCAGTCCTAGTGATTGCCCTGACGGCATGCTAATGCAAATAAAACGCGGTGGATGCAGAGGAGACTACCTAAGGCGTGTACTAATTCACGCGTGTTGCCCCACACCTGATTCGTATGCGCGCTAGAAATAAATCGCGGTTTCACGGGCGTTTCCACGTGGAAAAAGCTAGTAAGCTTCTGGTTTTATCGAACGCGGCGTCTGTGATCATACGTGGGAAGACTTTCCTAATTGCGATCTGGTATACATGCTTCAAGCGCGAGCCGTTATGTTAAATTAAGATCTTTACGGTGTGCCTTCATCGTGTTCAACGTTGAACGACGTCTGCGCATCACTGACGGCATCCATTCACGTATACGACCATCTGTCCATCGGCACAGACGCAATCCTCTCTGTTCTGACTTCTTGTAACTCTGTCTCAGGCGACCAAGTCACCAGCCGTAGTACCTTTATACAAACACCGTCCCACTATCCAAAAAAACGACAACAGTGGACATAGCATACTCAAGAGCGTACTAAAGAAGCAGGCCCTTCATAAATTACCCGCTTCCTTGACTCTTCATTCACACTGGCAAAGCGACACACACACACGAACACACACACACATCGACACAGCGCACACACACACACACACACCGACAAAGCACACACACCACTCACGGACCCCCGCGACACACATCGACACACTACACACAGCACGATGCACACACATCAAACACGCACAGCAGCACAGCACACACAGCACCACACACACACGGTACACCGCACGGTACGCACGTCACGACCCGGGCACACGCACACGCACACGCCACACACGAACATCACACACACACCACACAACACACACATACACACACACACGACACACGCAGCACTCACACAAAGATCACACAGACTCCGTTGGGGAG